ATATTATCGGATAGGCGTATAGATCCAGATTCTTCGGGGAGTGGTGATGCAACGTCGAAAGGACGCACAGGAGTCACAGGGTCAGCTGATCCGGTGGGGGAAACACTAGTGCTGCAAGCGCCCTGTTGGTTATAGAGTGAGATAAAGACATCAGAACAAAGGGATATACCTCACGATCAGCTGAGTTGGGTCGAAACACGCACATTGGCAAATGATTTGTCTGGAAAAGGAAGTTTATTTCATCCAGCTGAGAATCGGGCACATCCTCGAAACCGAGCTTGTTCGAAGAGATCAAGTAGTCCTGTAGGGAATGTGATCACGAATTGTCAAATTTACCTCTAGGTGAAGAAGTTCATTGCCATGGAGAGTGGCGGCAGCACCGAAGACGTGGCCTTGGTCAGGATACTAAACATTGAAACGGAAATTTCGTCCGATAAGTCCAAATGTAATACAATAAGATACTTGTGAGAAATAAAATGTGGCAGAAATTGTGCTAAACTGTTCCAGAAAGACGCGAGAAACTTATAGGTTGTGACGATTGCATTGTCATGGCGTCGGCGTACGCGCCATGGGCTTGAGACATACCAGCTGGATCACAATTCGAGTGCTGAAGCACATCGTTGACCGTCGCCTCTACTTTTTCGGTTAGGCACTAAACGATCTGGATGGGAGCTCGCCTTCTAAGGTCACTTTTTAGATTGACGTCCTCGGGGTAATAGCCCATTAAAAATTGGCGGATATTATGAAGCCCGATCGTCTTTGGTGTGCGGGGATGGAAAGCAACCTGAGAATGATTATCGAGGGCCTGGCTAATAATCGCGGGCAATGGACCGCAGTGGTTCGCATGCGTGGACGTCGGGACAAGCCAAATTAACATGAGCCCCAACCGTTATAATAGCAGGCAAGTATTTTTGCGGGTGGAACACCTGATAATTCTATTTGGCGATCTGATAGTGTTCTACAATAAATAGATTTCTGATCACGCAAGACTCACATTTCCAGTAGAACTTTTTAATTATTGTAGATTACTGAAAACTCACAATTATCGCAATTGTTGGAAACATTATCGAGCACAATTGTGCTTTTTATCGTCGCACAATAAGTTTGACTCCAAATCGAAGATCGAAAAATTGACTCAACTCGCACTTGGCTAACGTAAGATCAATTAAATTACATCGAAACGGACGTGCATTCGGTAGCTCAGTGGCCTACTTGACGCATACTTAAGCGGTTAGTGATCTAATTTGGTCCTAAAACAGTGCCTCCTTTTGTGCTTTATATTTCTCGGCAGTTGCCGTAACAATAATTATTCTCATCACTGTAAATTACCAGCT